GATACAAACACCCCCACCCCAGGATACAAACACCCCCACCCCAGGATACAAACATCCGCAGCTCCAGGATACACACAACACTAGCATGAGATACAAACACCCCCACCCCAGGATACAAACACCCCCACCCCAGGATACAAACATCCACAGCTCCATGATGCAAACATCCACAGCTCCATGATACAAACAAAGCAAGCCTGAGATACTCCCACTCCCACTCTGGTACTCACCTTCCTGGAGACATTTGGACTTGTCTGTGTGGTATTGGTCGACTTGAGTGACCCGGTCCTCACATGCTTGGTGTGTTCCCTCCGCTTTTGACAAAAGATAAAAAACAGGTACATAAGTGGCAGGGTGGCTATACAAAACAGGATAGCAAAAATGGTGGCATAGCTACCAAGGGACGCATTGCCGCCCATCACAGAAATGTCAGTCAATCTCGGCATCAGTTACCATGGAGACCAGCATAACAGAAATTATCATGACATATCGCTTTTATTTTTTCAATCCACTGACACAGACTTTGCATGTACACACAATAGTTCCTAGATGTTAACTCCAGCATAGGATAAATTCTCAGGTAGAAAAGTTAGCTTCACTGTCCTTACACAACAATCCCTAGCATACTGGAAATGTCAAATGCAAGCATTTGGATGCTTAAATGAAACATGGAATGTCAAATACACTGTATAACACTCGTAAATTTAGTTAATATTTCACGTTTTACATAAAATTCCAGAAATATGATGACGATCTTGTTGCCAGTGGGACACTAAAACACACCAATGACCCTGATAATACTCCAATGAAAACTACAAATCTGCACTTTGTAAACAGTTAAACCTCAGCAGGTAAGAATTCAAGGTAATACGGAACGGATGGCAAACATCCTGACCACGACCTGTTACATAATCTGCGGGTCTGCTATCTAGTAAAGCAGACATTTACGTGACCTGATGCCACAACCGACCAAGTACTTCACTGCAATGACACCACATATCAACATCCGCAAGTCACTGTTAGTACTAGTCACCCTTCTACATCACCAGCTGGTGTCTGGCGATCAGTGGATGATAGATCCCAGAAACAATACACATATTACACATAATTAATCCAGGTACGCTATGGATATATCCCATTTCATTTGTCACACACGGTTCTATACAGGTACATATTGTTTCTCCACTTCCTCACCTGTGGGCTATAATTGATCTTGCTGGGTCTTTTGTTGCTTCGTTTACACTGTAATACAATGGTACTGCAACTTCATTAGTAGATGTTCAATATCATCTATACAGCCGACCAGTGCTGCTCATGTGTGATGTTCATCCGTAGTGTCTACATTACGTATTGATCTCGCCGATACCTATATGTAGCAGCGAGTGGTCAACACCTTCGGCAAGAAAAACCGACACTGAGGGAATTGGACAAACACGACTTTGAATACACCTAACACCACAATCTTACGAACAACTCAATGAAAAGACAGAAAATCAACAATAAATCCTCTTGATTATTGTAATACTTTCACAGGAGTTCAGGAAAATTCATTCTTTGAATGCACATGGTCTGTAGCCTGGTTTACATCACAGTACTGAATCCACAGCAGAAATCTACCACAGCCACGGAATATCAAACTTCTACACATCTTGTAGCAGAAAACGCACTTTAAGACAAAATCCTTTGAAGATGTAAACAAAATTTCTCCAGCACTATTCAGTTACCAGTATATAGATACATATGTATATATGTGTGAGTTAGTGTAGAAGTCCGTTAGGATTTCCCCAATGTTGGTCATTAGTGCAGGTGTATACAGCTGAACCTGTATACGTGTATTCACTGAGTGTACTATTATCCTCCAACCACAGGACTGACCACAAACAATACTGTATCAGTTACAGAAGTTTGTCTTAATCAGGTGCATCAGTCTCTCAGCCTCCATACCACAACATACACACGGCCAGCCAGACTTACACAACCCAAGCCTTCAGCAATTATTGAACAGGACTGCCTTTGATATCCATATCCCCTAGGGCTCGTCCTGTCTATTCTAAAACGACTATTTCTGTATCTTGATCTTTTTATTTTTATCCTCCAATTACTGTTACTGTCTATCAACCTTTATAATTTTCTCCTTCAAGGACTTCTTGTCTTTTGTTCATTTTTTTCTATTCTCCAAGGTCTATCCATCATTTTCTGCTGCACTTGTCCTATTTATCCAAATGACTTAATCTGTCTATAATATTGTATTTCTATCCTCTAATGACTAATTCTGTCTTTCTATCTTTTTATTTAAATCATCTTTTGACTAACATTGATATCTTCTTAATTTCATTTATAAATGACAATCTCTTTCTTTCTTTTTGATTCCATCTACCTTAGACTAATATATGTTCGTCTGTATCTTTTACTTCTTCCCTTGACGGACTGCTACGTTCTCTCTATTCCTATCCTCCACTTTTCCACACTATTACTTTCTATTTCTCTATTCTAAGATCTCGCTGTCTCTCTATCTTTTCATTTCTATCCTCAGTTGATTACCATTGTCTTTCTATCTATAATGTATTAGTTTATATCCCAAACACATCTTTTTTTTTCTTTTGACTTTGAAAGTCTACCTATATCATATTCACAGACTTATCTCCCTTGAGACGACTCTTTGATCCTATCTCAATCCTCGGAATGAGAAGTTGGCCTTTATTAAGAAAGTTTGTGTTGGGACCATTTCCGTATACAATGTTGCACAACACACGTATTCACCTCATTACACATTCCAGGTAAGACAAACAAAAAATTCCATCCGCAGAAATTCTGACATAGGTCTATCAGTCTGTATTTCTTGGCCTAAATCTATGTATTTGCATTTCTCCTATGATGTTCATGATCACATATTTGTTCTGTCCACTCATTATTTATACTGTGTATTGTTTCAAATACACTGACCAGTCATTTCCTAAACATATACAATGTATATTAATCATTTTAACATCCGCACAATTGTTTTTCATAATAAACACATCCTTCCTTCCTTTGACAAACCACATTGCATTTGTCCATCTTTCATTCCATGAAATGAATCTCCGATATTATTTTTCATCTCCAGATCTCTTTTTCTATATATCCTAGAGTTTGTGTCCCAACTCAAATACACATCCACATTATTTCACTGATCTTATTACAATGAGAACCAGTCAGATGATGACAGTGGGCAGGCTATTAGCAGTCTTTCAGATGGCTCCACCGATTACACTAAGAGGTGTTAGATATCAATGTCTAGGCTCCATCCAGCTTTACTCCCCGAAGTCAAAAGTCACCATAGTCTTCATCATAGAGCAAAATGCATCCCTCAGATTCACCGACTCAAGTTATTCTTAGTTATCGGAGATATGACATTTGGCCATTGGCCCTGGCTAGGATGGCTGGACCCCACATCTATCCCCACCTAAACTTGTAGCTTCCAACCAGTAGCAATATAATGAGTCTGAAGTGATTTTGATAGAGACTACATGCTAGGGAGTAGTGATCGTGTTACTGCTGTGGATACTGGTTGCATGGCTGAGCACATGGAGTAAAGAGGTGTAACAAGCCTTATTCAAAGGGTAGGTCCTGTGGGGATGTATTTGTCTCGTAGTAAAAACACATGTAAAAATGTACCGTGGAAAATAGCGAAGTGTCACCGCACACACGTTGACCTTTGCTAGTGTATCACGGAGCATATCTCTCTTCAGCAGTGTGTTCACATTTCCTGACAACCCTCTGTACGGTAAACCTCTATGTCCTGTCCTACACAATCACACCGACATACGTTTTCCGTCCCCCGTCATTGTCTCAGTCATCGGCTCACGTGCACTACAAGTTTCTTAAACAATCGTAAATATAATACACATATACCACGTCATTCGTTATCATCTTGTCAGACACATGTAGACTTCAAAATTCTTCAAAAATTGTCAGATAAATATCAAAGCAATATACGTCAACCTTTATTATCCTTATCCTCCTTAGACACAAATTTTCTTCACAATGACATGGCCAACAAACCAGCTTATCCTTTACATAACCGTCGAATAACTTTTTCACCAGTTTTGCATATAATACACCATCAACATTTTATCATCCGTTATGAGATTCACTAATACAATATTTCACAGATACAATTCCAAGACCGTTCAGTTTTATCACTACCATTAAATGTCCTGGTTTTTCTTGGATTCAAATTTATCCTAAGACAACATTTGATTAAAAGCTGAATTTTGGAAAATAACAGATAACGTCCCCATTAAATCAATGGAACCACATCCGACAACCTTAAGCTTCCATCACAAGTAGATCTCCGATATATTCCTGGAATAGAAGATCTAAACCTATATAATATATTCCTATGTCACCATGGAAACAGTTCTGATGGCCAGATCTACCACTCCAACTCACTGGACATCTGACCATTCAGGCCTGGTCTGTAGAGTTATAAGAGTGACAGACCTGTCAAGAGATAAATGCCAATGTGTCATTCTCTAAGACATCAATGATTGTCTATGTCACACTTACATTAGCTAGTCATTCTGTCTCACAACTTTGATTCTAAACCTAAACTGTTAACAGCCTGGTCAGCTTAAATCTCCCTACCCAGCTTCATCAACAATTCTACGCATACGTCATTGGTCAAAACTCCTTCATTGGTTTAACCTCCTTTGTTTTGAAATTGAAATCAATAATTTAACTCATTCTACCCCGAAGACACATTTGAACTCTTCCAGATCAAAGGTTGGAATAGTTCATTATGAAATTTTAGGGGTGAATGCGTTAAGAGTAAACTTGCAGGTTGAAACTAGTCGGCACCGATATTGATACAGTTAGGGAAGCCTGGATTCACGAGTCATGAGTTGTTTCTTTTCTAATAAATCGTGCATTTGAACCCTGAAATACAAACCAGTCCAAGGTATCTAAATACTTGAGCTTTGCATCTAGATTTATTTTATTTGTAACAGTATTTACTATGCGGCCTGAAAACTTATGATCTACACTTCGAAAATCATTTAACTTTGTTACTACATAGCTAAAACCAGCATTTATTTCCCGGAAGTGTACAAGTTTCCTCTCAGCTGATTAACGGCCAGGTGAGATACATTTATAGATAGACACCTGTTTGCCTAATAGCTTCTTCCAAATCTCATTACCATTTCCGCTATACAATGAACGCGTCAGACAAATATTCTCTCATTGTTTTTTGGCATCACTTGAAATCTGTTAACACCTCAATACATAAGTTAACCGCTTTCTCTAGCATAACATAAGCATTACACGAACAAATGTCTGTTTTCACAATTTCTTCGGGAGAAAAGATTGAATCACACTTTTTTTGCAATTTGGCTGTTCGGCTGGAACAGTGTCGGAATGCATTTTGAATGTTTACTGATCAAATTCAGCAAGTAAACAAAAATCTTCGTCTAAGAATTTCCATTCTCAGTGTTTACTATCTTACTTCAGATATGAAAATACTGATTGAAGATTTGTCTTAGGTTCAATGAAAGCTCCAATCAATCTACAAAATATCTAACCATTTGTCAGTGCTTGTAGCAATTCACCAGTATCTATCACCGCGGCTTTCTCCGAACAAGGAGACAAAAAGCAAGAATTTTCCAGTTATCAAGTCACAAACTTTCCATGTGAAAGGCAGTGATTTTATGAAAAGCTGTACAAAATGTCTCAGATTTTTGTGAAATTTTCCACTCGCCCTTTCAAGAAGGTACAATTTAAAAGAATCTGTAGAATTATCTGACAATGTTCCGTCAAGATATGAATCTCATCTAGGAATCCTTCTCCCGGCTTGGCAGTGTGTACAAAATTAATACAGATCTATTTTAAGACCAGATAACTAAATACGAATAGCATGAAAGAAAACACTGCCAGTTTGTTAGAGTTTGAATGTACATCAAAGGAACGCAACATCTACAAGGAGTATAGGATAACAATATTAGATCAATTTATTAGTGCTGTGTTAGTCATTCTCAAAGGTCTATGTGTAGAGTATCAATGTGTTTTATGATATTTTTAATATAAGTTCATGTAAAAGTAAAGAAGTATTGTTTGTTTTAACCCTGCAAGATATACAACATACCTTTTACAGAAAATCAAATCACTCAAAATATTCTCTGCCTTTCTTATATCGAGAACTTTACAAATAAAATCTAACTTCAGCTGAAAATCTACCACTGATGAAATAAGTTCCAGGCTATTGTTTATATTTTTATGATGATTCAACTTAGTCTAGTCAGATTCCGCTAACGTTTATTTGCCCATTAAATATTCTCAAAGTAAGTTTCCCTCTCTCCCACCCTATCTTCAAATTAAATGTAAATTTTAACATTTTCGATGAGTCTCTCCCTCCATGTAACAGCCACAACATGATAGGTGTCCTTTAGTCATACAGTGTATAACTAAGGGACATTCGTTCTCTAAAAACGTCCACTTCAGCCCCACTGAAGTTTTACAATCAGAACACTGTTGTTGATCATATTTTGTTTATTTCATCTTTATTATTTCTAATAAAGGTCCCGCAAGGTAGGGTTTTCCTTTTCAGGAAGGATTCATCAAACCTTTAGTCATGCTGTAGACTGGCCACAGTCTCTAGAATATTGAATTATCAAGAATACAACTTTACTCTAAACATTTGATCACTTGGATGTCTGATATCTAAACTAGGGGGAGATAAGCTAGTAGTAAAATGCAGTTGAGAAATTCTTCATAAAAACTTAGGGGCCCGATAGCCAGTCTAGTCATGCTGGAAAAAACAGTTTCCAACACTTTGCTACAATTTTTGGCAGTGATACTGGGATACTTATCATTTTCTTATCTCTTACTATCAAAAGCCATATCATGTGAAATTTCATTACCTCATTCACATTTTTCTCTTAGGTGAATAAAAGCATGAATTGACCTCAACAAATGTCCATAATTGTATGAAACTTCATTGAAATCGTAAATAGGCATTTCCTTTTAACCCTTATCAGATAATATTTCAACAGATACAAAGCTCGCAAATCATCCTAATTTAAAATACTTTATTCTACATGCAAATCAGTCCTTAATATTTAATTCTTCTTGTAAATCAGCCTGATACCAAATAAATGAAGATTAAATATATTTTGAAACACATCCTTATCGACGCTGTTTCAGTATTTATAACATATCGGATGTAGGCACCACTCCTTAACACTAACAGTTTGGATAAACCCAGATTGTAAGGTCACACACACAAAAGTTAAATGGTGTGACTATCCAAACAGTGCACTAAGCAGAAAGCCGTCTCTAAACCGTCAAAACCATCAAGTTGAAATGAATTAACCATGAAGACCAATAAAAGCCAGGTTGGACGGTCGCACTATTAAAGATATCAGGGCTTCCAGAATTTTTTTGGATGGAATTCAAATCAGAAGTAACCAAATTAGATCAGACCTCCTATATAAAGAAATCGTCACTTTAATCTTTTTATCACCAGCATCTTACAACGCTACTTAGGAAAGTGATTTATTTTGAAACAGTTGGGCAGTGTTAGACACGGACAACACATCATTTGTACAGGTGAAATATTACCATTATACCACCATTATATATTTGCAAACCAGAGCAATATATTACACATAAGGATGTAAAGTGACAGATTAAGACATACTCTAAAGTAAAAGTGGCCCATTACATGCCTAATGCTACACTGGTCCTTCAGTTGTAAATTTGTGTAATGGTGTAATTTATACAGTTGTTCTACTTTCAATATTACACCTGTATAGTCTAATGCACAGGTAACTAGGTATTTTCTACCTTTATTGCACAAACTTACTGAATTATTTCATGAATATTCGTTACATTGCAGTTAACGAGAATATTTTTCTGAAACTTGACAATCTGTATAAGTTTTGACAGATTAGCAGCTGAATCAAGTGGATTCTGTTGTCATTATGTCCAAAACTCTGTTGTAAACATATCAAATACCAAACAACATGTAACACAGTCTGCCACAGGAATATGTATCAGAGAGTTATCTCCCTTCCATAGCAATCTCCTTACAGACACTGCAGTCAGTAACACATGAACAAACAGAACCAGTTTTCTTCTTCAGATTTTTTCTTTGACATAATTACAGTTGAAAAGCAAGCACTCGTTCAAACCTTCAAATTAGCACTTTGTCAAAACAGATTAACTTTCACAGCAACATTTACACTATAATCTCAAAATACATATTTTTTATGTACAATGTATGGCATATGAATTGATTATTGTTTAAATCTAGTTGGGTGGGGTTATAATTGAGCATGGGCTTATTACCAGCCACCTAGGATAATTGCTCTACTAAAGGATTGATATTTAATCTTTTTATCACTGTAAACCATAATGGACTCATCCAAATCAATGTATGGTAGAGTCTACTAAAGTTATATAGGGGTGAAAGGGTTAACGTATGAAAGGTAGATATGATTACTCACTGTTTGAGGTACAGGTGTTTGCGTTGCGATCTCACGTCTTCGCTGGGCCCTCTCTTCTTCATCTCGTACTTCTGTGTTCTGCTTAAGGGTCTGAAAAGTTAGAAAAAGGAATATAAATGAAAACTGATAAAGAAGAAAAACTATCGAAAAAAATGCTTATAGTATACTTAAATATCATGAGAACCCATTGCTAACAATAAATGGGAAATTCTCCCATTGTTTTTTATATCCGCCTTTAATAAGATGGCAATCTCAATATTCAACGATATCATATCGGTAGTTACCTAGGTGTTAAGGAAGATCACCAATATGAGAGGAATTTCAACCCTGAGAGAGTTTGTCTTGAAAGAACCAAAGGGTTAAAAGTGTTACACTTTACAATTCAAAAACTGTGAGTAAAATCTTGTTAATTATACAGAGCATTGCGTTCCCGACACTGACAATTTTTCGATGTATTTCAGACATGTAATGAATAATTCATCCGTGGACCCAACCCTTATACATTTTACATAAGGTAGTTTGATGGTTAAAGATTAAGGTTTAAATGTCTTTTTATCCTTAAATATGATTTTCTTTTTGTATATAAAACATGATATCTTTGTCTTCAATAGGATCAGAAAACTTAATATGCAAAATTTCCCAGTTAGTTTTGTAGAAAAATGTGGCCAAATTAATGCACTGCAGAAACAATACCAAAAAAATGTTTGAAAGGATGATAAATAGAAATTTTAGAAAAAGTATGCTTAAAAACTATTAGTGAAGCTACAATTTCGAAATATTTACAAAACTAAATATTAGATAATCATACATTTTCTAAATTGTGCCGACGATATCAACTAATATACTGTATACGGTAATAGGCAGCTTGGATCAATCGTAAGGAAAGTCGGAACTATTCCAATAAGTCACAATATAAGAAAAGACTGCAGCAATGAACAATTTTAAAGACTTAAATAAAAACTTGCCATATCTGTCCAAGGAATACAGCACAAAGCATCAAACCCATACAAACGCATGTTACATCCAAACTCCGGTACTTTCAATACGATAGTCAGACACAATATAAATTCCACCCAGTTTTAAAGGGGAGACAATTTCTAAACTATTGAGTCTGTATTTTGTTCTTCATCTTAATCACAACAAATCCTTTTTATTCATGGATACAGAAGCGTTAGTCAATAAGGGGAGGTCAGAAATGATGACACGACATGATCTTGTGAAAATACTTGTCTTAATAATAAAAGAACACTGATGATCTTTCAACAAATGAAGTGTTTCAAGAGTAAATCTTATCCTCTACTTCCAAAATCAGCAGAGAAACTGTGACTAAGTGATAGGGAATGTCAGAATGAGTGGGAAAATTGATATAAATTACATATTTCATACATGCGTGGTATCTATGACAATTATAAGGCAGCCATTCACGGAACACTGAAATATGCTGTCATGTTATCAGGCTACAGATCTGTGTTGGTTTGATAACACATAAATGTGACTTTGTTTGTAAACATAACGACTTATAAATGGACCCTTGTCGATGATTCAAACTTTTTACTATGTGTAGTCACATTTGCCATTCACAATTTTCTTAAGCTCCGATGGAAATCTGATTAAAAGTTTGAAAAAAGTTTGAATGAAGAGTTTAATGGAATGTATGATAAGACAAATATGATTTCACTCAGATTTGGGTTTTCAATCAATTTTAAATATTTGTATTATATATTTCTATGGGGAAAAATAAACTACTGTGAATTCAGATATTTTCACTTGGCCCAAATTTTGTGGTTTCACGCAAAAACACCATTTCGTGTGCACATTAATTTGTGGGTTAAGAGTACCAACTAAAACGGAGAATTGCTTTATATCAAACTTTAATTCCTAAGTAGACCTGTGAATTCATGAATGAAGATTTCCCATGAAATCAAGGAAAATAAAACCTGAGGAAAATTAATGATTTCACAGTACATTGTACATCAACATTCCGAGACCAATTAATAATATATTTTCTGCCTCTTCCTGAAAACTTTAAAAAAAATATATATATTGAAACCAGCTTGAACATTCATTTCTAAACACAACGAAATGATGTTAAAAATACTATTTTCTACCCTTTCAAATTTTAGATAACAAAAAGTTTATGAAATATACAAACAAGTATGATGTTTCTTATTACTGAATTTTCTTACAACGGATGTATGAGCATGTTACTTCTGAGCATGGTTACACAGCCAGCTTTATCAATACTGAGTTTTATTAAACTTGCTCACGATCGGGCGACAGATGTTACATGTAAATTCCTTCGGATTATATTGGTGACTGTATGTTACAAGGTTGGGAGACAGACTCCACCTTATCACACAGGGAATGTTGATCCAGACTCTATCTGTTGTACTCTTTGTCACAAGAAAGTACTGATTTAAAGGTTATCTAGTTTTACACAGACAATCCCACAGCCACAATCCACAACATTTAAAGGTTAAATAGCACCACGAGACAGTTCGCCAAAAAAGCAGGAAGAATCCCTCAAAAACAAAATGTCAGTTTTGCATAAAATTGTTTAATGTAATATAAACATACATAACTGATTGACAGTGTTCTTAATCATGAAATTAGGATTGTCTTTGAAAGTAAAGGTGAACAAATTCCATTACATGGGAATTTAGATAATACCAAGGTGGCTTTGAGCTTGTCATCATGAAGGGAGATAACTGTTTAGAACAAAACGTTAAATTGTGAAATGAAATTTATAAATACAAATATGACTATAACAATATTTGTTATCAGCAAAATACTGATCACCTTTGAATATATATATAGGAAAATTCCACTGCACTGTAATTTAGATAACACAAAAGCTGGCTCACAATCATCAAGGGAGACAACTCTATAATTCTAAATAGATTTACTCATCACCTGTATACATAAGTGATGAAGAACTGTTTGTTTTGCATGGACAGCAAATATTTGTAATCAACACAACCTGAGGTGTGTTCACAACACAGCTTAACACTGTCGTCACCATGTTCTCTGCTCAGAGTTCTGTGGTCTCATAATTTCATATTCATAACATGTAACAGGATCTGCTATGTGAACACAACATTTTTAAATCCTCTTCCTCCAGTGTTGTTTATGATATCTACGCCTACTGAGTGTATTTATTACCCTGTTAGAAACATTACACTGACTTCATTTCTGTTTTTCTTTTATTACTAGAATGTTTTCAATAGATTGGAGAAATCCTATGACACAACACCCAGAGATTTTATGATATTAACACACTGATGTTCCATGTCATGCACAACATGATGTACATCCAGAGCTCTGCATCCAATTTGACATTGAGAATTAGGGGTTAGATAAATATTTGGGGTCCTCATAAATGATAATTTTCAGTATTCAGTGCTTAAAGCCATATACATCATTACACTTTGGAGACTTTATTATTATTTTTATTAACCTCGAGTCAACTGACTCATGGGTATAATACATATATTACAAGATAAGTACAACATGTTATACAATACAATACAGAATAACATATGGACATATGTTAGAGGAGAGTGACTCTTTACGTACACTTGTTGCCAAATGTAAATATTTTCCAAGATTAAAAAGTTCCTTTACATTATTGGTACTTAATAGTTGAGTTAGTTTAAACACACTCGGACTTAAACGATAATATTTCTTTATGTACTTTAACCTTAGATTTTCATAAAATGGACATTTGAGAATAAAATAAAACTCATCTTCAATGTCGCCTAAATTACATCTAGTACACAGTCGATTATGACGGTTTATATTATTCCGCCTCCCGACCTCAATATTTAAACTGTGAGAGGACAGTCTATAGCGAGTAATTTGACGCTTGAATTTTGATTGGATTGGCTTACGCAAATAAAACTGTAAGTCGACATTGTCTATCAGGTGTTGATATAAATACCCCTTTGAAGAATTTGAAATATTTGTTAACATACTTTGTCGTGAAACATCGAGCAATCTTTGTTCTATAATCTTTGCCGCAATATTAATAGGTAAGTTTT